TCTCAAACCCCCTGTTTGCTGGTCTCCGATAGGAGTCCAAGATGGCGGATCCGCGCTGCGTTAGCGGGGAGGGGACCTCTGCAGGAATCTCTCCTCGCTCTCCATTCTCTGTCAGTTTTCTCACTCCATTTGGTTCTTGGCTGAGTTCTTTATCTCTTCATTTGATGTTTTAGGGTGTCAGGATTGTTGTATTCTTTGTTCGGCTTAGTTTTTCTGATCTTTGCTGTAGAGGGACAGCGTGGTGCTTCTGCCAAGAGCGCCATTTTGCCAGAACTCTTTACTGACCTTTTTTAAAGTAAGTGTGCTTATGTGCACCATACCTATGAACATGGACTTCTCGGTGCTTAGGAAGCAGGCAGCTCAGTACTCCTTCTTGCATCTCCCACTTCACTGGGGAGTCCAGAGAGATTAAATAACTTGAGCAAGGTCACACAGCTAGCCCAGGCAGTCTGATTCAAGACTGTGTTTCTAGAATATGTGTAAGGTAATGGAAAAGAAGCGACTGCTTTCTATATCATTTAAAGACTAGCTGCAAGGATCTCAAAACATCTTTTAGCTTGGCATGAAAGATAATACTATCACTTTGAAAACAGCTCCCTTTGGATAACTTGTAGGTGTTTATATTATCCCATGACTCCCCGACGCACAGCATCAAGAGGACACTCACACCTCTGGAATATTGCTTTATATGTACTGGTCATCTGGCTGGCATGGGCAGCTTTTGGGTCTTATACCTAAAAACTGGTATGCTTTCTTCAAATTTACCTGATTTCCTTCCCAAAAAATAGTATCTACCTCCTCTGTGCTACAACTAAAAAATGTTTACATACTTCTACTATTATAATACTTATTATACATTGTACTATGTGTATTTTATTTACATCTGCTTCTCTTATCAGGTAGCCCTGGTGGCACAGTGGTTAAGCACTTGGCTGCTAACCAAAAGGTCAGCAGTTCAAATCCACCTCCTTGGAAACCCTATGGGGCAGTTCTACTCTGTCCTACAGGGTCGCTATTAGTTGGAATCAACTGGACGGCAAGGGGTTTGGTCCTCTTATCAGAATGTGAGCTCCATGAAAACTAGTCTTAGGCATCAGTATTTGAGTGCCATTTTCATCCGAGTGACATCATCTGGCCAAAAGATGCTTACAATGCAAAATCCATATATATATTTTTTTAAATAAAATGACCAAATAAAGAAAAAAACAAAAACAAAATAAGCTGACCATTCATCTTGCAATCTAAAATGTAACCTCAGACTCAGCGGCAGATACAGGATTGAAAAGGTTTTCTATATTCAGTTTGCTTTCAAAGTCAGTAGGAAAGACTTTCACTTCTAGGCATGATGAAATAACTAGTAGCAGACAAGCCTTCCCGAACTAAATAATTATAATATCAGACAAATTATATGATGCAACTATTTTCAGACATTAGCCAAGAGGCAGCTCAGGACTATATTCTTGACAGAGAGGCCACACACAAGGTGAACTCCATGACTGCCCTGGCTTTCTGTCTGGGAAGCAACTTCAGACCAAGGTGTGGAAGAACAAGTCCAAGAAGGGCTCAGTGGTCTCACTGAGATAAGGAGGCAGAGACTGAAATTCAGGGTTGCTGATGTGACTGGAGTTTGTGTGGAAAGGTTAGTGGGGAGAAGGGAGATGTGTGGAAAAGGGAGGTGTGCAGAGAAGCACCACCAGAAATCTCCAGAGGAGACCCCTTAAGTCATTGGCCAAATAACGAGCTGTGGTGTGCACAGGGAGAGATGTCACAAAACCTGGAAACTCTAGCAGTCATGAAGGAATGGAAGACAAAGAATTCTGATAAGCGAGAGTGGAAAGACTTTCTGGTGTACTCAAGAGACACCTCAGGAATACCATCTCTTAGGAATAAGGCTATTCTACCCTCCTCCCCCAAGAAAACTTAAAAAACAAGCCTTAGCAGTCTGAAAAGGCCACATGCTGTGTGATTCTGAACTATATGACATTCTGGAAAAGGCTAAATTATAGGGATAGTGAATGGATCAGTGGTTATTACATAAACTTTTTCTTCTCTTACTTTCTTTAAAAGATATATGATGATTTAAACCAAAAATTTTAAGACTGTATTGTATTGTTTACAATCTACGTAGATATATGTTAAAAACAGCACAAAAGATGGATGTGGGCAAGTGGAACTATCTTGTTTCAAGATTCTTATATATGCTTATATGCTTTCTTAAGTGCTACAATAGAAACTCTAATTAGAACGTTGTAATTTAAGATGTGACCTGTAATCCCTGAAGCAACCACGAAATAATGCAAAGACATGTTGCTGCAATGCCAACAGAGTAACTCAGATAGAACCCCCCAAAATATTTTGTTTACCCAAAAGATGACTAGAAAGGAGGAAAAGAGGATCAAAAAATAAACAGGACAAATAGAAAACAAATAACAAAATGGGAGACCTAAATCCATATCAATAGTTGCATTAAAAATAAATGGATGAACACTCTAATTAAAAGTCAAAGATAGTATAAAATGGCTAGGCCCAACTATACACTGTCTATAAGAGATATACTTTAGAAATAAAGAAACAGATTGATTGAAAATAAAAGGAAGGAGAAAGATAATCCATGTAAACATTAAGCATAATGAACTACAAATATCAGATAAACAGTATTACTAATGAGGGATATTTCAGTAAGATAAAATGGTCAATTAATCAGGGAAGATATAACAATCATAAATGTTTAAGCACCTAATAATAGAGCTTCAAAATAAGTAAAGCAAAAAATTAACAGAACCAAAAGGAGAAACAGACTAGCAAAAAATTTTAAGGAAAGATTGTTAATACCCCTTTCTAGGTAACTGATAAAAAATTAGAAATTTTAATGAGGATATAGAAAATCTGATTAACACTATCAACCATTTTGAGCAAATTTGAGAATGCTATACTCAGAACTGAGGAATACACATGCAGTAAGTATCAATAAATTTCAAAAGGTTAAAATATTACAGAGTATGTTCTCTGAAAACAGAATTAATTTAGAAACCATTAACACTAAGATACCTAGAAAAGCCCCAAATATTTAGACATCAAACAACTCACCCTGAATCAAAGAAGAAATCACAAGGGGAATTAAAAAATATTTTGAAAAAAAAAAAGATATTGAAAACACAGTGTATCAAAACATGTGGGATGCAGCTAAAGCAGCCCATAAAGAGAAATTCAGCCTTTACATAACGATATTAGAAAAAAAAGATGGCTTACAGTCAATGATCTAATTTTCTATCTTAAGAAGCTAAAACAGATTGAGCAAACCAACCCAAAATAGAAGAAAGGAAATAATAAAGACTAGAAATCAATGAGAAACAAACAAATTATAGAGAATTTAAGAACACAAAATTTTGTTTTTTTGAAAAGACACCAGGGCTCCTTAATAAAATCCATAGTTAGCAGAAAAGATCTTAATTGACTAAAACACATACAGGGCCCAATTCCGTTTTGAAACCCTGGGGATGTGATGTGTAATGTAATTTATAATTTTAGATTTCAGAAGATTCTGTGCTGCAAATACCATATGTTATATAATACCTCTAGTGAGGTTTAAGTAGTGCTCTGTAATCAAACAGTAATATATTTATTGTGAAATGTATAAATACTTACTTTTTAAAAAAATGGTTTTGTCGCTGGTGTTGAGAATATACACAGCAGAACATACATCAATTCAACAATTTCTACATGTACAATTTAATTAATTCTAATTCAAGTCAGGTTTTGGTGGCAAAAAAAAAATTACAAAACAAATCAGGCTTTTGAGTTTTTTTTTAAATTTCAGAATTGGAGACAAGTGTTGCATTAAATAAGGAGCCCTGGTGGCACAGTGGTTAGTGGTTAAAGCACGGGGCTGCTAACTGAAATTTTGGTGGTTTGAACCCACCAGCCACTCTGCAGGAGAAAGATGTGGCAATCTGTTTCTGTAAAGATTTACACACAGCCTTGGAAACCTTTTAGGGCAGTTCTACTCTGTCCGGTAGGGTTGCTGTGAGTTAGAATTAACTTGCCGGCAGTGGGTTTGGGTTTTTTGGGGTTTTTTTATTGCATTAAATTGTATTAAATTGCTTATTCCTTTTTATAGATATGTCTTTATGTCTCTGAACAAATGACAGTGCTCCATTAATAATTCTTAAGGGATGATTTTCTTAGCTAAGAGCACAAGATGAATTTTTTTTTTTTTCTTCTGCAGCTTCCAAGAAGCTTGAAGGTCAGAATATTTAGTAAATCCAATGACCTTTATAGTGACCTTTGCCTGGATTTGAAAGGAAGTCATAGTCTTCTAAGAAACTGGGTTCTTCGCCAAACAGGACAGAATTCTCAGGGAAAAAGGTATATTTTCTTCCAACATCTAATTTTAGAGTTAAAAAAAAATCATCAAAGTTTCCAAACACATAATAGTAAATACCAATATACACAAAACTGAAAATGTTCTCACAAGAATTTTACCCAACCAGCATTTGTATTTTCAATCTTAAAATTCCATTTTAGTGAGGCAAATTTCATGCAAAATACATTTGAAATCTACAAAGACATCTAGCTAAATCTTATTTCTAAAAGGAATTTGGTGTCTCATTTAAAATAGTCTTGGTAGAAAATTTATTGACCAAATTCTCTAAACATTATCTCAAGCTCTAGGGAAACCGAATTCTACAGACTTAATATTTAATTTTCAGGAGTGCCACGATATGAAGAACAGCAACAAAACAGTATTAATATTAATAATTGTAGAATGTCCTTTAAATCCCATGCAATACTCCTATAGGTGATACTTGGAGCCATGCGTGCATTAAATCAGATATTTGTACTTACTATTACTGCTACTGCTGTCATTCCTAAGGGAGCTGGCTGCAACAGGGGGTAACATAAATGGTTTTGTGACACTGACTCTGGAATCTAAATAGAAAGCAATAATGTGTCAGTGCTGCATGGCGATTTATGTAAATTACAGAATCCCCAAATGGAGAAGTGCAATACCAGAGTACTTGCCAAGTCTGTTTCCCAAATCTAGACTATTCAGATCCTATTTACTTCAAACTGGGTCCTGCTGTTTTATTTTATTAAGAAATTCACCACCGTTACCTTACAGAACAAAGATTTATTGCATCTCTACGCTCAGAAGTGTGAAAAATGACAAATTGTTAGTAATTTATCACTAAAAACAACAAAAAGACAATGAAATTAAGACTTTGCCTTAGAGGCACCCAGTGGGAAAAAAGGAGTCTTAATACAGTGTAACTGGTGAGAATATGAATTCATGACCCAGAGTTAGACCCTGAAGGAGAAGATCTCAGAAGGGAACATTAAGGAGAATGGGGGTGAAGAGTAATACAATTTTAAATTATCAAAAAAATTGTTTTTTAAATTTTCAAAAGCAAATATCAGGTAAGAAAAAATATGAGTAATTTCTTATATATTGTTTACTTACATACAATGCTTTACACACAATGCTTTAATTTGAAAATGACAAATGTTGTTTTGGCTTAAAAAACCAACAAATCCACAACCATTAGTTTCTCTTGTATGCCTTTTATATTAGACATACACACACATGTATCTTTTAATCACTATGCAAATATTTGATTCAGAGGTAGATTCTCGCCTATACATATAAGACTCAAGCTTCTTAATTACATTTAAAACAGACATGCTTTTATATCTTACCTCCCTCAGGACTTAATGTTGAAGAAAGCACACAATCACTTGTTTCAGATGTCCCCCTAAAGTCCTTGATGGCATCTATGGATCTATTAAAAATGCTAAAGAATTCTTCAGGAGTAAATAGCCTGGGTTCTGGGTTCTTAGATCCTCTTACTACAGGCTAGAAGGAAAAAAAAAAAAAAAAGGCATTATATTTTTCAAATAGTCTATAGACTTAACTGAGGTCAAGGTAATGGACTATATATATGTCCTTCATAAGAAGTAGATGTCACAAAAAGTTGGGCACATCAGACAAGGTATCATGAAGGAAATAACATTTGTGTGGGGGCTTGAAAGATGATTAAGTGTTCATTAAATGGCAATGCTGGGAAGAGTATTCCAAATACTCAAGAATGTGGGTTTACAAATGATGGCATTTTGGCTGGAACCTAGGAGATTGTAGGTGGTACTTCTGAGGTATTTTTTTGGAAATTAATTGATTAAATACATACATAAGCCACTTACAATAATACATAGTAAGTGTTACATAAGTATTAGCTATTATTATTATTACAGAGTCCCTGGGTGGTGCAAATAAATGGTTAATGCACTTGGCTGCTAACTTAAAGGTTGGTGGTTCAAGTTCACTCAGAGGTGTCTCAGAAGAAAAGTCTGGCAATCAGCACACTATTTGTACTAATACGATATAAAAAGAGATGTCAACTCTGAGATGTCATTGACTATAAAATACATTCTGATTGCAGAAATTAGAAAGTGATAAAATAGAAATAATAAAATAGTGATTAGGTTAATTAATGTGATAGTAGGTTGGAGGCTGGAGGGCAAAAATGGGATATATGTTAGGTCTTAAAGAGTAGCTGGAAATGTATGGGAAAAGGAAGGGAGCATTCCCGTGCTATGGTACAGACTCATGTTTAAACTTTAGGTTTAAACTTCTAGAAGTCCTCTAGGCTTGACTTTGGCCTTTTGAACTCTACACCAAAGCTGGTCTCCTAAACTCTATTCAATTAGAAACACGGTTCTATAAGGTATTATAATAACAATTTATAACAGCATTTATTTTGCCAGGCATGATGCTAAAGCACTCATCATATGTCATCTAATGTCAGCCTACTGGATGGAACCTGTCATTGCTCTCATTTTAGACATAAAGAAAGTGAGGCACAGAGGGATTAAGTTCACAAAGCTAATAAGTGACAGAGTCAGGATTTGAACTCCAACATTCACTCTTAATCTCTGGGGTTACACTGTTTTCATATACTTAGAATCCAAAGCACTGCCATGTCTGTGTCCCAAATTTGGTGACAACCAATCATCAAATGACTTGGAGGTGCCAAAAATGCATTACTTTGTTGTGGCTTATAGAGTGGCTAAGGAGCTCTGGCGGTACAATGGTTAAGCCCTCGGCTGCTAACTGAAAGGTCAGAGGTTCAAACCCACCAGACACTCTATGGGAGAAAAGACCTGGTGATCTTGTCCCTTAAAGATTACAGTCTAGGAAACTCTATGGGGCAGTTCTACTCTGTCATACAGGGCTGCTATGAGTCAAAATCAACTCTATGGCACACAGCAACAACGGACCAATTACACTATGAATAAGAGGGCAAGTATAAGTGTTCATCATAGACAATTTCCCATTTAAACATAAATGAACACTTGTAACCTAATAGCAAAGTTGTGAGAACTTCATTTATTTATGAAATAAAGATAAAGGCGGGGCTGTTTTTACATTTTAGTGTGAAGAAATTTCATCTCTATATTAAGTGAAAACATTTACGTCTTAAAGCTCATTTCAGCATTGAAGTGTAACTATAAACATTTATTTCCCGTGCTCATCTTAAAAAGATTTTTAAATTCAAAATTTATAAACTCCAAATTACTCAAATAAAAAGGCCCCATGCCCACCCCCAACAATTAGCACAGGTTTGAGAGAAGAGAAGTAAAAAAACAATCCCAATGAATATGAGGTTACCGTAGATAAGTGTTCCTCCACGCACTCCACCAGATCATCCACTATCTTCACAAGTTTGTCTATAATAGAGTAATTACTCAAGCCTTCAGAAATACTTGAAAACTTGCTCAGAAGCTCAGTCAAGCTGAATGTCAATTGTCTCACCATCTCACTTATCCAACAATGACTAGGCTGCAAAAAAATTGAAAGAAAGGAAGACTAAACATGTCTCTTAAGTACAGTAAACTCAGTGCGCCCTTCAAAGCAAACAATGTTGCAGTCATTGCCTTTCAGACAAAGGATTTCCTCATACCAGATCAATTATGGTATTTTATTTAATTCAAGACTAATACCCTGTTTCAATATGTACAAATGCATGCAGATCAGAGGAAAGCCTTGATGGTAAATATTTTGCTCTTCCACAGAATCAATTAAGACAAAGACAAAACCAACGCTTACCCAGTGCTTGCAAGGAACAGATGGTATTTAGGAGTACACCTACTCCTTGCTTACAGACTATCTCTTCATCCAACATTTTGCATTTACAGTAGTAAAAAATCTACTTAAATCACTTTACAGCCAGGTACGGAACCATGTGTTTTGAGTGAGAGCGCGCCTCACTCCTGAGCCTCAAGTCCTTGATCCCTCCCATCCCACCCCTCTCCCTAGTCTTGGATGTGAATAAAGTTGAGGGTACTCCAGGCCCGTCAAGATCTCTGCCAGGCCTGCAAGCTGGTGGTGGAGCTGGGGCTTTGAGCAAGAAGGCAGCAGAGGGGTGCAGACAGGACATGCGGCGATCACTTCACTGCAGATCCCGAGAACCGCTGTTTTGTGCTTTGGGGCACTGGAGCCAGCGGTCTCAGGTGGGTGGGCATTTCAATAGAGAGCAGGAACTCTTGTAGGCTGGGGTAGGGCGAGTCACCTCCTGGCTGGAAATCCTGATCCAATCAGCTCTGCCTGTGATTTGGAATGGCACAAGCTAACCCGCATGCTCCACGCTAAGTACTGAGGTACTAAAGTCACGCTGTGAGCTGCAGACATTGGCTGCAGGTGAGGAGCAGCCCCACAGGCTGCCTCTGAAATGATTCCTGGAGCCTGAAGAGCATTTGGTCACTGAAGTTTCACATAACACCAATTTTTCACATAACGACTTGGTCTTTTTATTTTCCCATACAAAAATTTATACATACATTGTTATGTGACTCTAATTGCTCTCCCCATATTGTGACAGCACACTTCTCCTTTCCACCCGATTCCTCATGTCCATTCAACCAGCTCCTAACCCTCTCTGCCTTCCCATCTTACCTCTGGACAGAAGCTGCCCATTTAGTCTCTTGTATCTACTTGAGCTAAGAGGCACATTCCTCACAAGTATCACTTTATGTCCCACAGTCCAGTCCAATCCCTGTCTAAAGAATTGGCCTCAGAAATTGTTTTAGTTCTGGGCTGATAAGAGAATCCAGGGGTCCTGCTTTCTTGGGTTCCTCCAGTCTCAGTCAGACCATTAAGTCTGGTCTTCTTACTACAATTTGAGTTCTGCACCCCATCTTTCTCCTGCTCCATCAGGGACTCTCTATCGTGTTCCCTGTCAGGGCGGTCATTGGTGGTAGCCGGGCACCATCTAGTTCTTCTGGTCTCAGGCTGATGAAATCTCTCGTTTATGTGGCCCTTTCTGTCTCTTGCACTAATACTTTCCTTGTGTCTTTGGTGTTCTTCATTCTCCTTTACTCCAGGTGGTTGGGACCAATTGATGCATCTTAGATGGCCACTTGCAAGCTT